TGACTGGGAATCAAACCAGCGACCCTTTGGTTCGCAGGCCCACGTGCAATCCACTGAGCTACACCAGCCAGGGCAGAATTCTTTTTTATTTTATTTTATTTTTAGTTTGTTTTTAAGATTTAGGCCTCTGCCCCTGCTGTATTGAAACAGATTTTCTAAACATGGGGCACAGAAATCTTTATTTTTAAAAAATATCTTGAATTGATTTTTTTTTGAGAGAGAGAGAGAGACATTGATTAGTTGATCATTTATTTATGCATTCACTAGATGATTCTTGTATGTGGCCAGACCTGGGATTGCACCCACAACCTTGGCGTATCTGGACAACACACTAACCAGCTCAGCTACCTGGCCGGGGCTGAAAAGTATTCTTAAAGACCAATAACAAAAAGAGATAGACTTCCCAGTAGAGAAGCAGGCAGAGGGTATACATTTTGTTAAAGCCCCTACAAACAGACAATAAACGCAGGAAAAGGTGCTTTAATTCCTCAGGATGACACCTAAACATCCCCACGGCCTCAGGTGAACGCCCTGCTCCTCCAGGGAGAGCGTCTGAGGGGGCCGAGCTTCGGCCCAGGCCCGCGGCTCCGTCCCTTTGGGCCAAGGTCGGGGCTGTCAGCAGCTCTCAGCCTGAGACCGTCTGTGGCAAATGGGATAGAACAGCTTTTTAAAGATAAGCCTGAACACGTGGGTGTGAAAGTTGGTGCCTGTGGTTTTTCATGTTTTTTTAAAGATTTTATTTACTGATTTTTAGAGAGAGGGGAAGGGAGGGAGAGAGAGAACTCACGCATGCGCTGGTCCCTAACTGGGGACCTCTCCTTTTGCCCTCCGCGCCCGCCCCAGCCACACCTCTCAGGGCTGTCGTGGCCTTTCTCATGTACACAGACAGAGGAGATTTTGGTGAAGAAGTTGTCCAAGATGGAGTTGGGACAAGCGTTGAAAAGAAAGCCCAGCTAGTTTCAGGAAACAGAAATGGAGTCATTGAAGACCAATTATCCAGTGAATTCGTGTTCAATAACCCAGGCATCAGGGGAACCTGTGGCTCTGGAGAAAGCTTTGTTCAACCCCTGGGTCTGCTCCGGCTGTGAGACCCAAGAAAGCCTGGGGAAGCCCGGGCTTCGCTGAAGAAGCCATGTGACTGTCACGAGCTTCAAGTTTATCAGGCATGGTTGCCTTAGGAGGAAAATAAAGACATACATTTTGAAAACAAGAAAAAGAAGAAGAAGAAGAAGAAGAAAAACCCAGCCTCAAGCGTAAGGGCAGGGGTTCCCAACATTTTAGAGTACAGAAATTCTTCCGATGTGTAACTTCCTGGAAATCTTATTCCTCTCCTGTTTCCTCATATAGTGCTGACGACTGTATTCATTTTCTTTCCTTTAAGAAATGTCATTCTTCCCCTACTCGACGATCATAACTGGCCTGATAGATTGATTGATTTTTTAAAGAAAGATTTTATTTATTTATTTTTAGAGAGTGTGGAAGGGAGAGAGAGGGAGGGAGAGAAACATTGATGAACAAGAGAAACATGGATCGGTTGCCTCTCACATGCCCCCAACCTGGCGATCCAGCCCGCACCCCGGACATGCGCCCTGACCACGAATTGAACTGGTGAGCCTTAGATTTGCAGAAGGACACCCAACCTACTGAGCCAACCAGTCAGGGCCTGGCCTGATTTATTAATATGAAGTAGTGGGATGCTGACAACTTTTAAAGAGCCTTATAATCTTCCCAGAATAAAGTAAAAAAAAAAAAATTGCATGCTTTGGTGTCCGAGGAGCCTCCCCCTGGCCCTAGGCAGGGACGCTTCTCCCCTCTTACCTACAGGTGTGCCTGGCTCCAGGGTCCCTAAGGGCTCTCCCCTGGCATCCCATACCTACCTATTCAGTGTTTAAATAACGATTGCTCTGTGCATACAATAGAATAGCACCTTTTAACAGTCTTCACAATGGGTGATTCTTCCAAAAAAGAAATGGTGAGAACGTAGCCCTGGCTGGTGTGGCTCAGTGGACTGATCGCTGGCCTGCAAACCAGAAATTTGCCAGTTCGATTCCCAGTCAGGGCTCATACCTGGGTTGCAGGCTGGTTTGGGGCATGTGAGAGGCAACCAAGAGATATTTCTCTTGCACATTGATGTTTCTCTTCCTCTCTTTCTCCCCCCCTTTCCCTCTCTCTAAAAATAAATAAAATTGTTTTAAAAATTTGTGAGAACTGTAGATGAGGTGCCTTTTGGCAGATTCCTGGCGCGGTACAGGCTCCATAAATGGTAGCTATTCTGGATCTTCATGGAGGAGGCTTCTTCTTGCTAAGCAGGTTTCAACTTGTCACCTCCTCAGAGAGGCCTTCCTAGACCATCGTCATAGGTGGCACCCCGAACCTGTCCCTCTGCCCCCTCATTGCATTTTATCATCTTCATGTTTATCACCCTGTGTAGCCATGTTATTGATTTCCTGTCTCCTTCCAGCTCGAGAACGTAACCTCTGCAACAGCAAAGACCTCAATTATCTTGTATACTGATCTATCGCCGCCATCACCTACAATGTATTGCCCGACACACATAGGTGCTCTGTATATTTTATTTTAAAATCAACTTTATTGAAGTATTATTTACATAGAGTAAAATGCACCCGTTAATTTGTATAGTTTTAGTTTCAACTCCTGTGTAACCGTTACCCCAGTCAAGTCATAGACTACCTCCATCTTTCCTAAAAGTTCCCTTCTGATTTTTTTGCAGTCATTTCCCCTCTACCCGTTCCTAGATAACACTTGTGTGTGTGTGTAATAAATGAATCTTGAGTTGGAAGGGTGTGGCCCCAAGGTCTGCAGGGAGCTACTCACATGCTTGTACAACACTGTATAGCTTCTAATGCCATTCCACTTCCATGATCTCATTTACCTCCCACGTATGAGGCCATGGGTGCCCAGGGTGGTGACATGTGGCAGAAAGTCTCCAAAGCCAAGATGGAGGGCTCCTGGGCCAAGCACCTGGCACGCTGGCAAGTGTGCGGGTGCTCAAGGCTCATGGGCTGGGGCACACCTGGAGGTCTGGCAAAAGGCTGCCAGTGGTCCCACCTCTACCCCTGAAGGCCCAGGCCTCCAGCCTGGCTGAGGAGACACACCCTGGGGTGCCCCAACGCCAGCTCTTCCAGCTATCCCCTTCCAGGGCAGAGCGGGCCCTTCCAGTCCCTGCAGTGTGGGCCGCGGGAAACATAAAGCGAGGCTGGTAGGATCACTTGCTTCTGGTTGTTCACAGAGGAGCGGACATTGGCTGTCAGAAGGCGTGTCCTCTGGCTGGGTTCTGCCTCTGCCTTGCTGTGTGACTTTGGCAAGTCACTTTCCCTCTCTGGGCCTCGGTTTCTGGTTCCGTAAAAGGAAGTTAGTAATCCCTGCCAGTTTAACTTCAACTCCACCTGATGACTGTGCTGCATGAATATGTCCTGCCTTCAAAGACGGTGCCTCTCCTGCGCCATCCCCACTGCCTGGAATGCCATCCCCCCGTAGCTGCCCTCAAAATTCTGGTTTTTCAACTTGTCATTCTGGCCCTACTCCCTCCGGGATTTCCCTCGAAACAGAATGTTCTACTCCTTCCTCAAACCTCTATATGTCCTTGAGGGCAGGGACAATGACAGTGACAAATGGTGGGTCCTGTTTACTGAGATGACTGGTCCTGGGCCAGGCACTGCACTAGTCCCTGCGCTATCTCATTTAACACTCACGATAATCCTGTTGTTATTCTCAGCGGATGAATAGGAAAACCGAGGTTCAGAATAACGCCCCTTGTCCTGGGCCACGGAGTGGGTAGGACCTCTTGGGCTTCCTCTCACTGCACTCCCTGCATCCAGCAGAGGGCCAAGAAAACGGGTGTTCATCACCCGTTTGATGAATGATCGGTAAGCGTGACTGAGTGGCCCTTTCACATTAATCAACTTCGAACCTCCCTTCTGTGGACTTGACAGGACGCAGTGCCCGTGTTCAGTAATGTTAACTCCGATCACCATTATTTTCTGTCTGGGTCCACATTTACAACAAGAGCTGTCTAATTACAGGGTGGGATGAAGGCCCAAGTGGTGAGCGCTCAGTCACTGGGGTCAGAAGCGGACATGGGATGACTTTTGGGGTGCTGTACAGGAGGTCCAAGTATCAGCAGCCAAGAAAGGCCTCTGCCATCGCAGTCCGCGGTCTGGGAAGGATGGGTGTTAAGCCATCTACCCTACTTTGGGAGGTCCTGGGAGTAGAGTTGGAACACATTCCTCTGGTGCCTGGGATCCACCCAATTCCAGCCCTGCAGGCCTCGGGCACCCTATGGCCATGCTGGTCTGTGAGTTTTCAATCTGTCTTATGTAAACTGTAAATAGCTATTATTTTTTCCATTCCTCACTTGGCCTGACCTAGAGCCACCTCCCAAGGGAATATACCCGTATGCTGAGTCTGAGGAATGTGCTCCAGGCTTTGGGACCGGGAATGCCTTTGAGCTCAAGTCCTACAGGCTCCCTCCCTTCTCTGCATTATTGTGCAAGACGTAGGGCACACCTTCTGAAGCAGGTCGAAGGAAGGCTAGGGGACTTCCTGAGATCCGGCGTGGCGGGCGGGGCTGGGGGCAGGAGGGCTCGGTGCAGGGAAGAGGGGGCAGGAGGAGTGGGTGCAAACATTGAGTTCACGCACTTCGGCCTAGTATCCCCTACCAGTCCCCCACGTCCCCCTCGGTGTGGTTGTCTCCTCGCGCAGGAAAGGGAGGGAGTGACACTCAGGGCACCTCCCGTTCTTTCAGATGCTCAGCCAGCCACCTCTTCGGTTCAGTGAAGGTCCGGGTCTCCTTTCTACGTCTCTCCCTGGTCTCCCTTTCTCCAATCTGCTCTTTGTCTTATGTCTCCCAGCAGTCCCGGCGTCCCCTGCCTGCAGCCCCGCCCGTGCGAGGCCGAGGAGGGGGCGGGGCTCGGACCGAGGGGCGGGGCCTGGCGGGGCGGGGTGGGGCGGGGCGAGGCCGGCCTGGAGTCTAGGCTGCCAGCCAGACGACGCGGCGGGAGCAGGACTGCGATCAGAGTGGAGGCCGCGGCGAGGGTGACGGGAGCAGCGGGAGCAGGGCGGGCCGGGCTCCATGGCGCCTGCGGCGTCAGCTTGAGCAGCGCGGGCAGCGGCGGGTGGCGGGTGGCGGGCGGATCGGGCCGCGGCTCTTCTTTACGATGGGGGACGTGGTGTCCACACACCTGGACGACGCCCGGCGCCAGCACATCTCAGGTGAGTCTCTCGCCGCTCAGCGCGCTCCGGGGGTCCAATCTGGATCCCCTAGACCACGCCCCCACCCCGGCCCGCCGTTAGCGCTGGGACTGGGGTCTCGGAGAGTCAGCCTCAGGGTAGGGCGGGAATAGCTGGGGACAGAGTCGGTCGTCCGTGCTCCTATCCTCCAGTTCTAAGTGCCCCTTCCCAACCTATTCTGAGCTCACCCTTCCCTCTCTCGAGGGGACTTGAACCCACCCATTTTTCTAATGGAACCCCCTTGCAGCCGATCCCATCCTAGCCCCCAACACACTATACCCCATCGAACTGTGAGAGGGGTCGCAGCCTCCTCACCACCACCGGTATCCTCTCCCGGAAGCATTCCAGGCCCTCTCGGCCAGCGTGTCCTGACCTTCCCTAACTGCCTCAGCCTCCAGCTTGCCCTGGGCCCCGGGCCCAGCAGCCCCAGTACACGTGGCTGAGGCTTCCAGGGACGAGCCCATCAATGCCTGGGACTGAGGCTGGGGAGTGGGGCTAGGGAGAGATGGGTGCACAGGAAGGGTGGGTCAGAACCCCTGCCCTTCGGCTCAGGCTTAGCAGGGTGCTCCTGCTGCTCCCTAAGGAAACCTGGCGACTGCAGCAGACTCCTGGATTTCTCCTCCTCAGCCACAGAGAATGTAGAGAGGGTGAGAATCTCAGGCTGCCTGGGAAACTCGGCTCAGTGGCTCACCTCTCCGTCCTGGGTGAGGCTGGGCAGGTGGAATCCCAGGTCTGTTTTCCAGCCATGAGATCTTGGACAAGTCTCTTAGTGTCCTGGCAGCTTGGTTTTCTCTTTGAAATGAAATGAATGATTTCTTCCTTATTTAGAAGTTATTGAGAGACTTAAGTGAGCTAATTTATATAGCTTGCTTAGCACAGGGCCCGGCATAGGGGAGGCACCAATGCACAGGCTGCTGGTCCCCTCGGGGCATGGGGGCAGCCCTTGGAACGAGGAGACCATTCCTCTCCACTGTTTGCCCCTCCCTGTCCAGTGCGCCCGGAGCAGTGTCTGCTCACACTTATCTTGATGTGCCCCGCAGTGCTGTAGAGAGTTTCAACAGCTCTGTTCTCCCTGCCAGTGCCCCTTGAGAACAGGGACCAGGTGACCCTTAACTCCATGCCCTACCCTTTCTGGGCCACAAAGAAGGTGCTGGGAAAGCACTTCTCTAGAAACTGGTTATGAGCCCATGGTCTAAGCTCTCTCTTTATACCAGGGCCTGGAGCCTGGGATGAGGGTGATGTAGAAATGAGTCAGACCCTCTCCAGCCCCGGATCAGCAGGGGGTTAAGTCCTGGAACTCTTGCTTGTAGGACAAGGACTCTGGGAGGAGGAAGGCAAGGGCGGAGTCTTCCTGTTCCCTCCCTGTTGGTGGCAGCCTCCTGGGGCTCTGTAACAGTCCATCCATTCACCACCTCCCGTTGGGGCCCCTCACCCGGCTTGGGTGGGGTGTGCTTCACTTTCTTCGGTGGGGTTTTTCCTTTCCCCACACCCAGTTGGGCTGTCCCCCACTCCTCCCACCTCCTGGGCTGAGGACTGCCAGCAACCGCCCTCAGTGTCTCCCCCCCACCATTTACAGGGGAGGAGGCTGAGACCACAAAAGGTGAAGTGTCCTCTTCTGGACAGGGTTGGGTTTGTTTTGTGGATACCAGGCTGGGCGGAAGAGGGTTGTGTTCACTCAGACTCTGCTGGCCTCCCTCTTCTCAGCACTTCAGTGCTATTAATAACCCCCTTCAAATGCCTCAGATTCCTGGTCCAGGCTCACCTGAAGGAGCTTCTGAAGTGTCGGGGTGGCGGGTTGGAAGGGGAGGAAGTTAGCAAGCCTCCAACCCCCTCCCAAAGAAGTGAACGGCCTTAGAAATCCCTGCTGGAGGGGAACGAGGGTGCACCTTTGCCACCTCCAGTGGCCCTGCACCCTCCTCGCCCCACCCAAGGAGCAATGGGCACTTTCAAGCCAGACCATCAAAATTCCAGCACCCTCCCTACCTGGGGCCAGTTCTTCGCCCAGAAAACCTGGGGCTGCCCCTGTAGAAATGTCAAGGCTGAGAACACCCCTTCCCACTGTGCTCTGAGCTCTGAGGCCTGTTAGGGTTCTGCGGCTTGGCCAGCCCACCCTCGATGGAGCAGGTGAACAGCAGCCGGCAAGTCCTGGCAGGGGTCAGGCGCACTCTGCCCACAGTGCTGTTTTGCTGTTTTGCTGTCAGGGCGCCTTTCATCCTGGGATTTCAAAGTGTCTGGCACGCAGGGGCTTGTCCTCACACCGGAGCCCCAGAGAGGCTGATGGCAGGATGATTTCCTCCTGCTTCCATGCAGGAGGCCTGGCTGGCCGGGAGCTGGGAGGCCCGTGTAACCTTGGGCAGCCGCTTGCTCCCTTTGTGTCTCAGTGTCCCTAGCTGAGAACCTGATGACTGATGTCCCTTCCAGCCCCGAGGGCCGAATGATCCCAAATTTTCCCCACAAATCTCCTCCAGACTCAAGCCAGCTCAGGGGCCTCTCATGGACTCCCCAGTGTGTTAGCTTGTGGGGCCTTGGGCCAGCATCTTAATCTCAATTTTCTTTTTTCTTTTACTGTAAATATACAGACAACTTTTCATGAGAAGTGTCTTTAAGTTAAAAATGCAGTATTTGGACAAATATTCTAACAAATTTTCTTGAAATATAAAATTCCAAATGTAAGATACTACATACAAAGTAACAAAATACAACACACACCACATTTTTAGCTAAAACCGGATGCAGTTGTTTTCACATAACTGACATTCAGAAGCTCTTCAAAATCTGCATTTTCTTATCTGTAAAATGGGAACAATAGTCCCTTCCTTGGAGGTCCTGTTGCCAGGATTTGATAAGACACGAGAGGTAAGAAACTCAGGCCAGTGCTTGGGGCAGGGTGAGCGCTCGGCAAACGACGGCCGTTACAGAGATCGTCACGCACTGTCACAGAGTCGCCGATTCTGTGGTGGGCGGGGAGAGTGGCCAGGTGTCTGGAGTTTGAAGGGGGCATTGCTGCTGCGGCCTAGCTCCCATTTCTCTGAGGGCTGTGCAGTTGTCCCTGGGGCCAGTGTCCCTGGATTCAGGAATCCACTGGGTTTTCAGAAAACTTGATGACAGTGTCCCGTCCATATGGGCATATGTGTGTGATGGCTGTGGGTTATCCGGTGTGGGAGAGCAGTGGGGACAAGGAACTAGGCTGTGGAGAGGTGGGGCCGGCCCCCAGGATAGGGCTAGGATAAGAGCATGGAGGCGCGTGGGCGGGTGGCCCGGGTCGGAGCTCTGTGAGAGATTCTTTACGCGTGGCCTGAGCCACGTGAACCGAGGTGCAGCAGGTGAGGGGGTGAGCTCACTGTTGCTCAAGATGTGCAAGTCGGGGCCGGGTGCCGTGCCTTTGGCAGACAACCTGACGTTGCCTGGAGGGGCCCTGCTGCCTCTAGGACAGCTCTGAAGGATTCCGCTGTTGCTCCAGAGATTCTTTTGACCAGGTTGACATTGTGGGGGCTGAGGAATGCCCCCACCCCACCCCACACATGCTACCCTCAAGTTCACTACCTGAGAGGGCGGGTGAGGGAGTCCGCCCGCACCTGTGTTTCCCCCTCCTGCCAGGCTCACCTTTCCCCTCTGCTAATTCTTTTTCAAAATAGCGGCTTTATTGGAACATAATTCACGTGCCACGCAATTCAGTCACTGAAAGTGTACTGAAGTGTACAAGTCAATGTTGTGGGGTTTTTGGTTGTGCCACCATCACTACCATCAGCGTTAAACCATCCTCACCAGCCCTGTGAGCCGTCACACCCGTTCCCCCAGTGCCCCCACCTCCCGGCCGCCCCTGGGAACCCTGTCCGGGCGCAGGGGCATTGCTCGCACAACGTGGAGTGTCAGGCAGAAAACCGAATGCTCCCTCCCGCTTCCCTCCCTTTGATTCCACTTCCAGAAGTCGCCCAGGTCTGGTGTGTCGCTTCTCCAGACGTGCAGCCCCGAGTGCATGCGCAGTAGCTGTGCCTCTGAAAAGGGGTCCAGCGAATGTTTCTGCGGCCTGACCTCTGCGTCCATGTCTCCGTGTCAGGACCCGCACGCCGGCCAGCTCCGCTGTCGGTGGGTCTCGGTCCGTGCCAGGCTTGGTGTATCCACCCAGTCTCCCCCGTTACTGGATGTTCGGGTCGTTTCCACGGTTTGCGTAGCCGTCACCCTCCGTGCCCGTATCTCGTGCCTGGTTCCAGGATCACAGAGGCCTCGGAATGGAACTCCTGGATTCCGTTCTGATGTGCGGAGGACACATAGCCTCCGAACAGAGTGTGAACATTTTTCAAAGATTGAATTTATTTTTAGAGGGGAGGAAGGGAGAAAGAGAGGGAGAGAAACATCAGTGTGCAGTTGCCTCTCCCATGCCCCCGGCCAGGGACCTGGCTCGAAACCCAGGCATGTGCCCTGACCAGGAATTGAACCGGCGACCTTTCGGTTTGTGGGATGATGCCCAGCCCACTGGGACACAACAGTCAGGGCGAGGCTGTAAACATTTGACACCCCTTTCTGTTGGTGCATACCCAGTATGGGTATCGTGTTTGTTTATTGAGCAAAGCGATGAATGCCTTTTTCCAAATTGATTTTAAAAACCCACGTCTCCACATTTGGGAAATGGCTGTAGGTCCCAGGAGCGAAAGAATAAAGGTGTGTTCTTTCGGCCACCCCCGCCCAGATAAGTCACTGCCTGGACTTTGCAGAGAGACCAGGCTGGCCGGAAGCAGTGCCCGGCTCCACATGGGCTGCAGCCCTTAACCAAGGTCTGGGTCAGTCCCTGGGGTGAAGTGTCTGGGGATTCTGCTCTGCTCCTGTGTCTCTTACATAACGTGCTTTTGTTGGCGTTGACCCTGCCCTCCCCCTCTGTCCAGCCTCCAGTCTGTCCTTTTTCACTGCTGCGGCCTCCGGCTAGCCTGCCAGGGCTGCCTCTGCCCCACCGCACCCCTCCCCGACACCCTTCCCGCTTCACCCCT